CCGGGGGCCCCCTTTTTTAAACCCTTTTTTTGGGGGGGTGAAAAACCCAACTTTGGGGGTTTTTCTGGGAGGGACCAATTGGATTTTTTTCCCCGAAGGTTGGTTGAGAGGCCCCCCGGGGTTTCACTTTCGGCAATTGGTATTTCGAGCTTTTTTTCTTTGGGGGAACCTTGGGGGGCCCCGGCCAACCCCTTTTGTCAATGCCCCCCACCCCCCTTTGAATGAACGGGGCCCCGTGAGGAGGAGATCCAGGAGGAGGGTCCCCCGTTCCCCCCCTTCCCTTTCAGCGGGGCCGGGGGGCGGCCGCATCCCCCCCCCCCGCGGGGTCGCCCGTCTCCGTACTCGCCCCTTGTTGCCACCCCCACATCAGCACCCCTCCCCAAGACCCCCCTCCCCCCCCTTTCTCCCGCCGTTGACCCCTCGCCGTGCCTCGACGGCGGGATGTACCTGTTGGTGCGTCCATTGCCTGCCGCCCGCCGGGTTCCCCCCCCCCCCCCCCAACCCCACTCCACCCCCCCCTCCCCCAAACCCGGTACCCGCTAGCCCCCGCCGGCGCGTCTCCGTCCGTACCCCATTCCGAGATGTGCCGCGCCGCGCCTCGTGAGTTCTTCAGTATTGCCAGAGCCGTTCCGAGTAGTTCCGAAGTTCCGTCTCTAACTCTGTGATTCGGTGTCGATGTGGCCGGTTTGTATGTTGGATATTTATTTGAATCTCGATAAAACCGCGTTTTAGACGGGGCGGACGACACCAAGCGACACAACGTCAACGTACGGCTCTATCTCAATTCAACCGCGCTCGCGTCTCGGGCGGCAGCCGAGGAAAGCCTGCACCCACTGCGCACTGTGCATTTGACGGGCTGGCGACGCGCGCGCTACCGAGGAGGTCGCCCGTGGCGCGTGGGGCGTAGTCGCGAACCTGCGTCCACTTGTGTGTGTTTTGCGTTGAGAATGCCCACGCGACATATTTTTTCTGTTCACTTCGTTTTTCTGTTAATCTGTGATAATGCTTTAGTGCCCTACCCAACCCGTGTCCCGAATCCAGCCTTTGCGCGGGTGCATGGCGTCCTCCGCCCGCAAGCGCGCCCGCACCGGCGGCAGCGGCGAGGAGGACGCAGAGCCCGTGCCGGTCGCGGATGGCTTCGAGGCGCCCATCTTTGGAGCGCGCATCGTCGGCCAGGTCACCACGCTGCCGCTCGAGGGCGAGGACGGCCCTCTATCGCTCAGTCAGGTTAGCGTGGCGAGCGACCACGCGGGCGCCTGGTACGTCGCGACGAAGGACTCGCTGCTGCACGTCTCGGTGGCCGGGCGCGTGCGCCGCGTAGCAGCCTTGACGGCAAGTGAAGCCTCCTACACCGTTGCTGCTAGCCCAGACGGGAGCGCGGTGTTTGTGGCGGACTACAGCAACCACAAGATTCGGCTGGTGGAGGTGGCGACTGGCGCGGTGACGACGCTCGCGGGCAGCGGCGAGGCAGGCGACGTGGATGGCGTCGGCGAAGCGGCGGAGTTCAACAGCCCAGCCGGCATCGCCATCGGCCCAGACGGGAGCGCGCTGTTTGTGGCGGACCAATGCAACCAGAAGATCCGGCGGGTTGAGGTGGCGACTGGCGCGGTGACCACGCTCGCGGGCAGCGGCGAGGGTGGCGACGCGGATGGCGTGGGCGACGCGGCGGAGTTCTACAGCCCACTTAGCATCTCCATCAGCCCAGACGGCGGCGCGCTATTTGTGGCGGACCAATGCAACAACAAGATCCGGCGGGTGGAGGTGGCGACGGGAGAGGTGACGACGGTCGCGGGCAGTGGCGAGGATGGCGACGTGGATGGCGTGGGCGATGCGGCGCAGTTCTACGACCCAGTTGGCATCGCCATCAGCCCGGACGGCAGCGCGCTGTTTGTGGCGGACTATGAGAACAACAAGATCCGGCGGGTGGAGGTGGCGACGGGGGACTTGACGTGTTGCGTCACTGTTCACGCAAAGACACAACCCCGGGCCCAAGACTCACACTGTTCACACTATAGAGAGGGTGAAAATTGCGTTTCACCATGACTGTAGACTGAGAAGAAAGTGAAAGAACGACCTCTCTCTAAAAAGTCGTATGATTTCTAAAATTTTCTTCGCGCCTGCGGCGCGGCAGATCAGAGAAATCGGGCCGGCCTCGTGCCAGCAGCCGATTTCTATTTCGGCCAGGGAAATCAGCCAAATTTCCAGCAGCCAATTTCTAAACACCGATTTCTAAGGCAAGAGCACGCACTGTAGATGCGTGTGACCGCACGAGTGTACTAACCGACCCGCGCGGAACCCCGGCGCCGCAGCAGCGCTGCAAACCCCCTCACTGTCTCCTCAGCTGGCCGCGACGGCGAAGGTCGATCGCAGCGCCTTGAGCGCCTTGCCGGCGCGGCGCCACTCGTCGGGGGAAGCGTCCACCCGAAGCACGTGCAGCTGCCTGACGATGGATCAACCAACCAGTCAAGACGGTCGATGTATGAACTCATTCTCTCGCCCCGCGGCAGCAGCGGCCTGTCGCGCACACACGCCGAGAGGAGGACGACGAGGGAAGGGAGGCAAGCGGCGGCGAGCGTGTCGTCGCACCTATCTCCCACCGCTTTGCTTGAGCGGCGAGCCCGCCTCGCAGCAGGCGGCGGCGGCACGCAATGCCGCACTTTGTCGCCGGCAGCGCCAGGTCGTAGTCGTAAAAGACGACGCCTGTTCACGGCTCGAGGCGTGAAGAGCGTCTCTCAAGAGTTGTGCGGCTTTGGAGAGAGCGGCGCCGTCGGCGGTGCGGCGCGCGGCAGCCACCAGGTCCGCCTGAAAAAGGATGGCAGAGGAGAGGGTGGCGTGTCGCTCGAACGAGTGTCGGAAGCGTCACGGAGGCGTCACGGAGGCGTCTCGGAGGCGTCTCGGAGGCGTCTCGGAGGCGTCTCGGAGGCGTCTCGGAGGCGTCTCGGAAGCGTCTCGGAAGTGTCGCCTTCGCCAGCCCCGCCTCGAGGCCGAGGGAGGAGACGAGCTGGAGTTGCTCGGGCTTGCCGAGCTCGGCGATGCTGCTCGCGCCGGTGGGCAGCGCGCTCATCCGCACAAGCGACGCGGCGCTGCCCGTCACCGGGTCTCGCAGCCCGCCCGCGTCGGTCGAGACCCAGCCCTTGAGGACCTCGACCGAGGCGGGGCCGGAGCGGACGGTGCGGTAGGCGGTCTCCTCGGAGTACCCGTTCCCCACGATCAGCGCGCCGCTCGAATCGAACTGCGGCAGCAGCGCGTCCTGCACCACGCCGCCGCCGCTCTGCAGCAGCGCTCCGTCGGACGTGTAGAGGTCCTTGCCGCGGTCGGCCGCCGCCCGCCGAGGCCGCAGCGTCGCGGCGGAGAGGGCGGCCGCGGTCGAGAGCGCGAGGCGGCGGCGGACAACCACGCGGGCGGAGGGCAGCACCGCGGCGGGCCAGAGAAGGAGAGAGAGGCAAACACTCGCCATCGGCCGGGACCTCGGGACCTCGGGACCTGGCGCGCACTGGCACTAACACAGGTACACCGAATAAGAATTCGAGTCCGCGTTAGCTCAAAAAGAATTTACAAAAAAGAATTTTACACGCAAGGCGGTCGCACGACACGATTCACGCGACAACAGGCGAGGCGCGGGCGACGGCTTCCTCAGAAGCCGTCGCCCGCACCACAGGAGCAGTCACACCACTCCCACTCCGGCGTGGGACCCAGGACACGAGTTTGGGGTTCCGCGGCCCTGCCATTCCAACACTAATCACTATCGGAGTAATTTACCGATGTCCGTACACGCACGGCGCACGCACCGGCTCCCCCGTCCGGCTGCACAACGACGCCGCGGGCAATGCACGCCAGGTCACACCGGCGACACGGCAAATGGAGGGATGACGGGGTGAAGCTGACCATGCTGATTTGGGTGCATCATATCGGTCATCATCTCAACCAGGAACGCGATCACGTTCTCCTCGACCGGCGGGAACTCATGCACGAGTTTGCCGCCAGGGGTCACTCGGAAGCCGTCCGCTGAGAGTGAGCCGTGTACACGCTGCTCGGGCGCGCCTCGGAGCCCGAGCGCGTTGCGCACGGCGCGTTGCGCAAGGCGCGACGGTCCGCCGGAGTCTCGGGAACTGATCTCCTCTGCGAGGACCTGCATGTCGCGCAGAAGGCCTGCATGCGGCGCAGAAGGCCCGCGGGAGTCTCGTCGCGGCCCCGTGGTCCACACGAGGGCGCCGCAGGGGCACACTCTCCAGCTGATGTCGGCCACGCCACCGCATGCAGCACGCCGCACGAGCAGCTCGAGCGGGGACCCAGCTGCCGCACGCACGTGTGCCTCACTCTCCACGTCCCTCGCGCGGCGGGCTGCGAGGATGCATTCGTATGGTGGATGGAAGCTGGAAAGCTCCGTCGCCAGGAAGCTTGTGTCGATCTTCCCAGTTAGCAGGACCCCAGTCATCACGTCCGCAGGTGTCGACCAGGTCACCTGCGGTAACCTGTCCTGCGACAGCCTGTCAGCATACCTGTCGTCATGCAATAGCCTGAGTGTCACACGCGTCTCGCGATGATGAAGCAGCAGCTCCACGTCGCTCGTATACAGGTAGCGCCACGCGCGTCCAGCGTCGCCAAGCATCTCCACGGCTCGAAGTGCCCATGTCGCGTTCTCGCCCGGAAGCAGTGTGGGCCATGCGGATGAGCAACGCTCCATTGCCGCCTCGACCACGGCTGGCAAGGCGCGAGCGAACACCACGCTTGCTCGCGCCGCGACTGCCAGGCGCCGCGCAGGCAGGAAGATGAGCACGTGCAGGACGAGCTCCAGGGGCAAGGCGAGCAGCGGCATACACACATCAACGTCGGGATTTCTTTCCTCCCGGGCCCCCTCGCGCGCGGTTACACGCGGCGCTGCTTGGGTAGCCGGTGTCGTCACGAGAGCGCGCAGCAAAGGGGCCAGGGGCCAGGGCTAACATTCTTTTGGCCGCCACCCAGGCGACTCATTCACGACCTCCGCCCTGCCCCGTCGCGAACGCGTTTGCTCGGGTGTCTGCAAAAGAATGTCCACCAGTCCTGGCTCCTGGCCCTTAATCGCCTGAGATCGTGAACGAGTCGCTGTGGATGGCAGCCAAAAGAACGTTCACCATCCCCGGCCCCGACCCTTTAATCCGCAGGTCGTGAACGAGTTGCTGCGTGGGTGCGGCCAAAAGAACGTTTACCAGCCCTGGCCCCTGCGCCCTGGCCCTTAGTACGCTTAGTGTCCGGGGTCGTGAACGAGTTGCTGGGGTGGCGCCCAAAAGAACGTTCACCGTCCCTGGCCCCTGGCCCCTTTGTTTTCACAGTTTGACTTGTTACAGAATGGCGGACCGACCGGGAGCGGCCGCACATTGCTCGCTACCCCCCCTGCACAATTAAGCTCATGGCCGACCCCCCCCCCAGCAGCAGCGCTCTGCCTGTGGGGGGTGCTGGCATCTCTGTACAGACAGCAGCTGTAAGTAGCATGCGTTCCAGTGGCGAGAATTTATGGTCGGCATCAAAATCAGTGGTCTCACCGGCGGGCCCTCCTACTGCCAGCCGGGCGGTGCGGGGCACGCCAGCCTCTCTTCTACGCCTCTCGTGCCTCGCGGCGCCTCTGCTTCAAGGGGGGAAGATACGGCTCTCGCAGCCCATCATACGCCGTGGCACAGCGGGGAGCACAGCGGGCTGTACAAGATATTGTTCCCTATCTTCGCATGCTCGTCGTTGGTGATATCCGCGCGAGGTCATACGCCGCAGGCCAGCAATCACTCGATGATGAGACTACACTGATGTATAGGCGCGTGTGGTATTACAAGATAGACTCACATGGTCACAAGTGTTTAGTAAAACGCCAGCACTCGACACGACGAAGGTGTATTGGGCTCGAAGGCGCGGTGAACACAACCGCCTCGAGCGTACCGCTCAAATACGAGCCGAGGGTGGAGGGGGGGGCGGCGGCGAAGAGGCGGGAGAGCGGGGTCCAGTGCGCTCTGCTGCTGGGGGGGGGGGTCGGGGGGCCCCCCCAGCAGCAGCGCTCTGCTGCTGGGGGGGTCGGGACCCCCCCCCCAGCAGCAGCGCTCTGCTGCTGGGGGGGTCAGACCCCCCCCCCTAGCAGCAGGGATGAGCTTAGTTGTGCAGGGGGGGTAGCGAGCAGTGTGCGGCCGCTAGGGTTGCCTAACGTTAACTTTGGGCCTAACAGTTGCGCTAGTGTTGGCTGAAATCCTCAACGTTGTTCAAGTGTTCACCCCAGCCCATGCTGTTACTGTTTGTTACTGTTGTTACTGTTGTTCAGTGGTCAGCAAGCAGAAAATGGCAAAAAACCCGGGTAAAACCCGAAAATACCTGGGATTTTCCGGGTATTTTCGGGTATTACCCGCACTGGACACTAGAGATCGTCGTGGGTCACTGCCAGGCCTTCCTTACTGTTGTTCAGTCGGCCTAACGTTAGCTACTGTTGTTGGGGGGCCCCACTGTTGTTCTGTTGTTACTGTTAACACTAGCAACACTGTTCAGCTCTTAACGTAGGCAACCCTAGCGGCCGCTCCGGTGTTAGTGCCGAAAAAGAACGCACAACTCACCTCCCTTACGTGTTTGGGCTCCTCCTTCGCTGTCCCATCTCCTCCGTCGCCTAGCCTCTGCGCTGTCTGGCGAACGCCTGTATGCCATGCGCGCGGACCACGCTTGCGTGGATTGTGGATACGTGGCTGGCAGGCTGACCCGTGTGCGGGGTAACCCGCGCACGGGGAAGCTTCACGGGTTCGAGTCGTCAAACATTAAGCAGCGAAGGTGTGCCGAGGGGGGGCGGGAGGCGGTGTCGTCGTCACCCGGCGCTGCTTGCAGCACCATGGCGATGGCGCTAAAGTAAGAGGTTCCTCTTTTCCTCTCCCCCCCAGCAAGGCGCGCGATCCTCATCTCTTTCCCGCCTGGGCGGGGCGGTGGGCGGGCGCGGTGCAGTGCGGCGTGTGTGTGCGAGTGACTGCTACCAGGGACCATGGGCGTATTATTAAAACAACGAAGGCGCTCTCAAAAAAACGAATTTATGTATGTAAACAGTGGAACCAGTCGAGGAGGGGGGGGGGACGAGCGGCAAGCATTGAGGGGGACGGAAGGCGGCCAATTCGAGCGGCCTTGCGGCGACGCGTGGGGGCTGCTCCGGCCGGGCGGGCGGGCGCCTGTGTGAGGCCTGAGGCGCATGGGCGACTTCGTGGTGTAGGAGAGAGCAGGGCTGCGGGCTCACGTGGCGCACGCGTCGCCGCACGCGCCGAGCGGGCGGCGGAGAGGCAGAAGGCGGAGCGCCGCGCCAAGGCATCCTGCCACCGCGCCGCGGTCAACGGGGTGGAGGGCGGGGTCCCGGAGGAATCTTAAATAATATGGGCCACGCACGCGTTGTCACGTCTGGCGAGTATGACGGGACTCGGGAGGACCAGTTACGGGGTGTGGAGGGTGAGTTGAACAGGGGTTGTGCGCCAAGCCCTCCTGCTCGGCTCCAGCCGGTAGACAAGTCTTGTCATCAACAGAGTAGATGGATCTGACCTCGGGGCCGATGTGACCAAGCGCTGGTAGCGTGGTTTCACCTCACACCCATGGTCTCACAGTGTGCCGGCAGTCGCCGAGCAGTGTCGCTCACACAAGCCGCAGCACAAGTGACTGAGGGCCAGTGAGGGCGAGCCCATCGCTGTCACAGCTGTGGCAGCCGCACAGTAGGCTGTGTCAGCTGTGCAGAGTGTGTGAGCAGCAGAGGAGCTGCTCTCCAGGCTTCTGTCGCAAAGAGCTGCATGCCACCGAAAGCGCTGTCGAGGTTCGCCGAGCGCGGCGCAGGTTGAGGGACACCGTCACCGACGAGCGCGTTGGAGTATTCACTCCGGACAAAGACGGCCACACGCACACGAGCTGCGGTCGTGTGGCCGTCATAGCGGCGAGGCGCGGGACCGTCTGTGGCGAAGTGGGTCGCGTCCCTCGATTTTGTTCTACCCAGCATCCACACCCTTTATATACGACCCGAAAAGAAAAAATTCCGCCGTTTTAACAATTGTGAAGAATTGGACCTTCTACATGCACATGCGTGCGCGACGGCGGTGACAATTCGTCGGACCTCGGGAGAACAGGGACATCGGAGAGTGCAACTGTTCACGAAGCACTCTCTCCGATGCCGGCATGCCGGCTGGCGGGGTCCGCGCGAGCCCTGCTTCGGCACCAGCGTGGCGTGTGGGAGAGCCAGCCCGGCCTCGTCCCACACACGGCCCGGCGCCCCGCCACCCCGACGCGAGCGGGCAGACACTCGAGTCGGGAAGCTAGAGAGATCCCCTCGAGGAATCTGGGGTGAGGGTTAGTCCGACTCGTCGTCGCTCAGCACCACGCCGCGGCGGCGCGGCTTCTTGGGCTGCGAGTTGGCGGCAGGCGCCGGCTGGGACGCCTCCTCCTCCTCCTCCTCCCCCTCCTCCTCCTCCTCTTCCTCCGCCGCCGCCGCCTCCGCCTCCGTGCCCGCGGTTGCACCTCCGGCGGCGGCAGCCTCGGTCGCGGGTGCGTACGCCATGGTCTGCGCCTCCTCCATCTCCGCGTCGGAGGCGTCCCAGGCGGGCGCCGCCGTGGCGGCGGCCGTCGCTCCTGCGGCGCGGGGGAGATCTCGGCTGATCTCGGGAGATCTCGAGCGATCTCGCCGCGCCTCCGCGGCGGGCGGGGAGGCGAGGTGAGGTGGGCCCCACGTCTCTTCACACTCACGGGGGGGCAAGGGGGGGGGGGGGAAGGGGGGGCAGGCAATCCTCGCGACTCCACGTCTCCAAACAAGGCAGGAGCGCCACGGCATTCAACGTGCAAGGCCCAGTGCGCGTGGGTGAGCGGTGTGGGAGTTTGCGGCGGCGGGTGGAGGCGGGCTGGGTGGCTGCGGAGGCGAGGGCGGCGGCGGGCTTGGCGGAGACGGGCTTGGCGGAGACGGGCGGTGCGGTGCAGGCGAGGGCGGTGGAGGCGAGGGCGGGGGCGGCTCGCCCGCGTACGCCATCGTGCCGACGTCCTCCATTGCCGCATCCGAGGCGTCGAACCGCTCGCTGGCCGTCGAGGCGCGTGGCGACGCCTCGCTGTCCGAGTCGGCGCCTGTCGCGGCTCCTACGGGGTGAATCGGGGTGAATCGGCGGAGTGCATTGGGCGGGAGCGGCGAGGGAGAGAGGCGGCGTGGAGGTGGCAGGGGGAGAGGGCCAGCTGGGTGTGAGTCGCCTGGGTCGGACGGCTCCTAACTGACTCAACTGTAGTCGCGATCTCGCGTGTTTGTGAGCTCATAGCTGTGAAAAGCTCGCGCTAGGTGCCGCCCTCGCATTCGCCTTCTTGGGGCCCAGTGCTGCCTCTGACTGTCGTTGCTGTGTCTCTCCCTTGCTCGACGGCCTGTGCTTGTGCGTGTCTTTGGCCCGGGGTGATGTCTTTCGCGTGAAGACACCGACACCCTCAGGGGTTGGGAGCACGGCATTGAGAGCACAGCGCGCGAATACGAGCGGCGCAGATGCAGTGAATGCGGTCGCTGGCTGGGTCGGCGCCTTCGTCCGCCGAGACAGGGAGAGGTGTGGTGAGGGGTGGTGAGACTGCGCCGAGAAGGGAGAGGTGTGGTGAGGGGTGGTGAGAAGCCAGTGGCATACGCCACGCCCGGGAATGGTGTGAGCGAGCGTGAGAGAGACAGCGGAAGAAATGGCGAGACAGAGGCCGTGAGCGAGACAGGGAGGAGCGAGCTAGTGGGAGAGGGAGAGGAAGAGGCACCTGCGGTCGCGGGTGCGCCGGCCGGAGAGAGGGGCAGCTCGCCATCGTCCTACAGAGTCGAGTCCCGTCACTCCTCACTGCCACTCGGTGCCGCACAGCGGCGAACTCTCCTCGTCCTCCTCCTCCTCCGCCGCCTCCTCCCGCTCCGCCCCCGAAGCGGCGGCGGCGCGAGGGGAGACGGGGGACGCAGGCGGCCGCCCGCGCTTAGCGGCCGGCAGTGCCGCTCCTGTCAACCATAATTAATGGTTCACGATGAGGAACCAGCTCTCGCTTAGCGGCCGGCAGTGCCGCGCCGATCGCAGCGTCCTCGTCGGAGGAAGCCTCGTCGTCCGAAGGCGGGAGCGAGGGAGGCAGCGAGGGCGGCAGCGAGGGCGGCAGCGAGGGCGGCAGCGAGGGAGGCAGCGAGGGCGGCAGCGAGGGAGGCAGCGAGGGAGGTGCCGAAGCCTCGTCGTCCGAAGGCGGCAGAGATGGCGGCAGCGACGGCGGCAGCGACGGCGCGGACGGCTCCGATCCCGAGTCGGGAGCGTCGTCCGGGGAGAGGCGGAGCTTCTTGGCGCGGTGGAGCACCTGTCAATGAGAGGTGATGAGTAAGTACTCTCATTCCTCGGGGGAGAGGCGGAGCTCTTCTTCGGGCGGGTGGAGGACGACCTCGTTGGCGCTTCGCGGCGCGAGGTGTCCGGCGACAGCATGGTGCCTAATTAATTAATTAATTAGGAGGTAATTCATTAGTTAACGGCGCGAGGTGTCCGGCGACGGCGTGGTGCCAGTCGGGGGTGGTGCCCACGTAGCGCGGGTGCCAGTACCGCAGCAGCGCGTCCTCCTTCTCCTTCCACGCCGCCCGGCGCGGCGCCTTGCGGCGCGCAGAGCCCGAGTCAGCCGCGGCAGCGCCGTCGGCGCCGTCGGCGTCGGAGACAGCGGCAGCCTCGTCGAAGGCGTCCGCGGCCGCCTCCTCCTCCGGCAGAGGCCGCTTGTCGCCCCTCCCCTCGCGCTGCACGTAGCCTCCCTCGACGATCTGCTCGCAGTCGCTCGGCCGGATGTGGAAGAGCGCCTCGACGAAGAGGGCGGGGTTGCGGCTCGCGACCTGAGGTGTGGGGAGATGTGGGGAGATATGGGAGATCTGGGGAGATATGGGGTTGCGGCTCGCGACCTGAGGTGTGGGGAGATGTGGGGAGATCTGGGAGATCTGGGGAGATATGGGGAGATATGGGGAGATGTGGGGAGATATGGGGTTGCGGCTCGCGACCTGAGATATGGGGAGATCTGGGGAGATCTGGGGAGATATGCGGAGATATGTGGAGATATGTGGAGATATGGGGAGATGTGTGGAGATGTGTGGAGATCTGGGGAGATCTGGGGAGATCTGGGGAGGTCTGGGGAGATCTGGGGAGGTCGCAACCTCGAGGAAGCGCTTCGCGGCGAAGGCGCACGTGCCCCGCACCTCCCTGTGCTGCGGCAGCTTGGACGCGGGGCTCTGCAGTACGTCGTCGTACACCGCGAGATGCTGCAGCTCAAACAGCATCGCCTCGAGGCCGCACTGCTTGACGAGCCGCGAGAGGAACATGCACGCCGCGTGGGCCACCTCGGGCGGCAGCGTCGCAAAGTGGCGAAGCAGCGCAATGTACCGCCGGATGACCTGCCGGTCCGAGAGATGGGGAGGTCTGGGGAGAGATGGGGAGAGATGGGGAGAGATGTACCGCCGGATGACCTGCCGGTCCGAGGCGAACTGGAAGAGCTCATGCTCAAAGTCGAGAGCCACCTCCTCCACCACCTCCCGCCCCTCCTCGTCCTCGTCGTCTGCGCCATCGCCCTCGGCGTGAGCGCTCGGTG